GCGTGTGTGTGTGTGTGTGTGTGTGTGTGTGTGTGTGTGTGTGTGTGTGTGTGTGTGTGAGAGAGAGAGAGAGAGAGAGAGAGAGAGAGAGAGAGTATTGAGGCATGGGTTCCACCTATGGATTTGAAGGCAGATCTGTTTGATAGATGATGAGGAGAGTGTGGCTCCTTAATCGGTAATCGACTGTCCACTTGCGGACAGTCTGCTGTCTTATTTACGTTTTTTTTTGTAAATTGTGTTCACTGTTCAGTACACTGCAGATTCTCACATGCGTCCACCACATAAACCAACTTGTTCTGGTGTTGTTTGCGACTAATAACTCTGTCTTTTAAGTGTCTTAACATTGTAAGCCATGTCTGTTTTATGAACTTCCACCCTTGTGCGCGCATGCGCCTTTATTAGCGTCGCATGCACCTTTACTAGTGTCTTTCAGAGTGTCAAGTGTGATACACTCACGCTGTTGTTAAATGTCTGTGTGGTTCATCGTTTGATGCAGTTTGGCCCATGCCCAACTGTCCGCCGTCTTCTACGAACGTGTAATGCTGAACGCCGTCGAGTAAGTCTTTTTTGCTCCAACATCCCTCGCTCATGCAACCCCTCCATACCCTTTTGTGTGTTGCCGAAGCCGTCATTAATTATTACACCTCTTCCTTTCTTTGCGGATGCATGTATTTCTTTGCTGCATTTCTCTCTCCTCCCTCGTTTGCCGCATCGCACTGCTTTTTGGCGGCATGCCAACCGTCTTCACCTGAACAGAATGTCCAGTAATTGTCCCTGTATCAAGACTGAAAGTTTTCACAAATATGGGTATAATGCCCGGGCGTTCTGTTCAGGTGAAGACTCTGCGCTTGACGAGGCTCTTCTTTCTTTCTTGAGTTTGTTCTTCCTCAATGCTTCATCCATTAGCTTGTTCTTTGGCAGTGGGACCTAACCACTGTTCATTCCCTTCTTCCCGGTTCCTTTCCCTGCATTTCACCTTCCCCCCTCTTGGCCAAAGTCGTACTCCCTTGCTTACTCATTTTCGGTTCTTTCCCTCCCCTCGTTTTCGGTTCTCTCTCTCTCCCCTCATTTTCGGTACTCTCCCTCGCCCCCCAACGGCCCCCCTCAACCAACCCTAGACTGCCTGAAGCTTTCCTATCCCTGCAAGGTATACTCGTCCTCTCTCACACGCACATGTATTATGGGTTGGAGAGACGATATAACTCAACGACGATGGAAGCCACGACTCTTGGCACAGAGGTTGCAGTTGTGCTGCCTTGAAGGACATAGACCAGGCTGTTAACCCCGGTTAACCGTCTGGTGTGTGTCCGTCTGCAGTTGACGGTAAATCCATCGGGCATCTGTCGTGGAGGTCGGCTTTTGTAAGCGTCGAGCTTATCGGAGTCTCTATGTGAATTTCATGATTTTTCAATCATAATATGGTCAAGAAAATCTGATGCGCCTTTATTTGTGTATTTTGCATTGAGAAAGAATTGTTTGGTGGTGCTGGTTGTCGAAGGATAGCTCTTCAAGTACTGCCTTGGGTGGCGTCGGCCAGCCGTTCATTTATGATTTGTTTATTAAACTTTATTTGTATGTGAAGAGGGCGCACCGTCTGCATGGTCCCAGTGGTGCTCTTAGAAAACTCCGATGTGTACAGATCAACAGGTTGGCACTGGGACAGTTGATTCTAACCCACCTTCGATCTCTCTCTCTGCGCTTGTCTACCTTTTTTTCAGGACCGGAAACATCATTGCGATCATCATCGGCTTCTTCGTCTTTGCCTGCGCCACGGTCGGAGTGCTTATGATTATGGAAACGCTGAGCGCATTCCTTCATGCTCTCAGGTTGCATTGGGTGGAATTCCAGAACAAGTTCTATAAGGGAGAGGGTTACAAATTTGCACCCTTCTCCTTCTATAGGCTTGACGTTGATGACGAGTAGGGGAACAGATTGCGGTCTCTTTCGTAGAGGTTAGTTGTGTGTGTGTGTGTGTGTGTGTGTGTGTGTGTGTGTGTGTGTGTGTGTGTGTGTGTGTGTGTGTGTGTGNGAGAGAGAGAGAGAGAGAGAGAGGGAATTGGTATGGTTTGGGTTGACAGGGGCATGAAGCATGCACTCTATGCAAATAAATAATAAAATATTATGAAGAAAAAATTGCATTTTGAAAAATTCGGGGTGTGGTTGATTCGTTCTCGTCTGCTTCTGGGTGATGGGAAATTTCGGCGCCGGTTTCTGCGTGTGGTCACTTATGTTTTGGTTTGATAATCTTCTTCTGTGCTGAGGTGAGAATCTCTTCTTCAGTTCTCGCTCGCACACTCTCCCGCATGCTTGGCTATGGCTAACGCCACTGCGGATGGAGTATTGCTTGCCTTGTTGGTCTTTACACAACATTTTCCTCCTTGGAAATAATCTCCGTGTTTGGTGAAGATGTCCCGGAGTGAGCAGAAGTAACCTCAGGTTCTTTCTGTTCCAAAATTCCAATGAAACATGGGATTGATACGGTGGACGCGATCGGCTGTTTTTTTTTCAGTCCAGTGCCTTCACCCATCCCATTGGTTGGATCTAGTGCAGGTCGTCGCTGAGCCGGAAAGAAAGCGTGGCAAATGCTGATACGGTGGACGCGACCGGCTGCGTTTTTTTTAGTCCAGTGCCTTCACCCATCCCATTGGTTGGATCTAATGCAGGTCGTCGTAGAGCCGGAAAGAAAGTGTGGCAAACGGGACTTGAACTCGGGATGTCTGGCGTGACAGACGAGCTGTAGAGCGCTCAGTTAGGTGATGCATGCTCAATAAATTGTTACGGAAGTCGTTCTTAGGTTGGGAAAAGGATTTGAGAATACCATAACTTACGGCTGTGAGGCGGTTAAGAATATGTTGAAGTCCCAAGACTCCTAGCTCTCTATTAGTTTATTGCCCCATGGCGGATTGTTATTGGCTGTGTCCTTCCCCTCTTTTTTCCTTCTTTTTTTCCCCCCCCTTGTTTTGAAGGAGCATGTAAAATAGTGTGCCATCCTAGGATACCAGAGTGGCCCGGGACCACTTGCCCGGCCGGGCCACCTCCTGATGAGTCGGTGAAACTCCGACGAAACAGTTTGTCACAGCCCCTCGTTTGTTGTCTTCTTCTCTCTCTCTCTGCCTACGGTTTACCGGGCAGTTCTGTTTGTGATGATATATATACATATATATAACAGTTTGTCGCAGCCCCTCGTTTGTTGTCCTCTCCTCCCTCTCTATTTGACGGTATATTATTTCAAATTTGGTCAAGATTCTCGATGTGATCCTGAGGCAAGAGTTGTTCAGTTCAGTTTTTTGCATATCAATTTTTTTTTCTTCAGATTTTCAGATTCTGATCATTCTGTATATTTTTGTACCTTTTTTTTGCTGGGACCTTCCTTTTGGTCCTTGCATGGCCGGCCCGCTCGGGTATTCCTAACTTCATTCTCGACTTCATTACTCTTTTGGCGTTTTGCCTCTGCTTGGCTTGCTTGCGATCTGTGACTGAATTCAGATTGATATTCATGCTACAAAAATCTTCTCTGGACTCGATTGTGCGTAATGAATTTCCTTTCTCAAGTGCCCCAAAAAAGGTGGAAAAAAAAGGAAAAGGGTCTCCACCGACTCTCTGGCTGCCCGATGCACGTACGTGGCCATGGGAAGTGCTGATGCTCATGTAAGCCCCCAGAGAATGTGTCTTCCTTCTCTTTCATCTTGAACGGGCCTGCAAGAATTCGCTGATTGGAAATCGTGTGCAAAATGTGTACCCACGATTGAAACCAAACAATGAGCGAGAGTGATGCTGCGCTGCTGTCTTTTTCATGTCCTTCAGTATTTCCGTTTTGTTCTTCGAGATTAGCGTACGCTTCCTTCCTTCTGATGTGGAGAAGAGAAAAGACAACGAGACACACTGTTTAAGGAGCAGCTCAGCGTGCTCGATCTCCGCGCGCTCGTCTGCTTGTCAAACTGAAAGCTAACGCGACGTCATGTCCGACGAGCGACAAGGCCCTTGCATGCGTGCGTGCGTGAGCCTTAAGATGGGAGGGCTGCATATTCTGACTCATAAAACTGCATTAGGAAGAGACACCTGCGACCAGTGCTTCGCTTGTGTTTCTGTATCAGGGACCGAAGGAGCAGTGTCGTGCTTCTCCTCTGTGTTCCTGCTCTCTCTTGAATCCTGCGCCTGGAGAGCTCCATTAGAATGTTTGTCGCGCAGGGTGCTGTATGCTCACGTTGCTACGGTTTACCACAAAAAGTGGTGTGTGTGTGTGTGTGTGAGAGAGAGAGAGAGAGAGAGAGAGAGAGAGAGAGAGAGAGAGAGAGAGAGAGAGGGGTGTGTGTGTGTGCATCTTTAATGACAAATATGGCCACCGTGCCATGTCGTAGAATATCAGGTGTGTGTGTGTGTGTGTGTGTG